GGAAGATCAGGTCTGTGCATTAGCCCCAGATACCCAGTAAGTCTGAGTAGTTCCTCTACAATTGGAAAAAAAAAAAAAAAGAAGTACAGAAATATTGTTGTTAAATTATTAGGTCATGGAAGCCTGTTCTGTACAGTTTAAACCCTTTTGCTGTTCTTAAAAGCTGGATTGCCTTCTATGGCATCAGTCTGGACTCTCATTAGAGTCACAACAAATTTAAATCTCAGGTAGTGGTATCAGGTCTTAAGTAGTCCTGGAGAGCCTCACAACTGCCCAGAATTTCTAGACTAGTATCTGGTGTGACCCTCACTTGCATACTCACTCTTAGTTTATTTTTTGCTTAAAAGATATTTGGGGAATGCTGAGGTTAGAGAGAAGATGAAATGGGAGCTGCAGGACGCTGCCATAAAGCAGCTTAGTATTTTTGAGAGGAAATACCCTGTAACTCTGACTTCAGAGACTCATAGAACAGCTTACATCAGAAGGGACCTTAAAGTTCACCCAGTTCCACCCCCCTTCCATGGGCAGGGACACCTCCCACCAGACCAGGTTGCTCAAAGCCCCATCCAGCCTGGCCTTGAGCATCTCCAGGGATGGGGCATCCACAGCTTCTCTGAGCAACTTGTTCCAGTGCCTCACCAGCCTCCGAGTAAAGAATTTCCTCCTAATACCTAATCTAAATCTCCCCTCTTTTAGTTTAAAGCCATTCCGCCTCATCCTGTCATTATCTGATTGAGTAAAAGAAAGGCCACAATAAGATCTCCCCAGAGCCTTCTTTTTTTCCAGGCTGAACATCCCCAGCTCCCTCAGCCTGTCTTCATAGGAAAGGTGCTCCAGCCCCTTGATCATCTTTGTGGCCCTCCTCTGGACCTGTTCTAGCAGATCAACATCCTTCCTGTGTTGGTTGCCCCAGCCCAGGATGCAGCACTCCAGGTGGGGCCTCACCAGGGCAGAGCAGAGGGGCACAATCCCCTCCCTCCACCTGCTGCCCACCCCTCTGTTGGCGCAGCCCAAGACGCAGTTGGACCTCTGGGCTGCAGGCACACACTGCTGGCTCGTGTCAAGATTTTTGTCCACCAGAACCCCCAAGTCCTTCTCTGCAGGGATGCTCTCAGTGGGTTCTCCCAGTCTGTGCTTGTGTCTGGGATTGTCATGGCCCAGGTGCAGCACCTTGCACTTGGATGTGTGGAACCTCATTAGGTTCACGTGGGCCCACTTCTCCAGCTTGGCCAGGTCCCTCTGGATGGCGTCCCTTCCTTCTGGTGTATTGATTGAACCACTCAGCTTGGTGTCATCTGCAAATTTGCTGAGGGCGCACTTGATCTCAGTGTCTCTGTCACTCATAAGGATATTAAACTGCAGGGGCCCCAAGACAGACACCACTTGGCACTGGCATCCACCTGGACATAGAGCTGTTGACCACAACTGTCTGACTGCAGCCATCCACCCAATTCCTAATCCACTGAACAGCCCATTCTACAAATCCATATCTCTCCAATTTAGAGATAAGGATATTGTGGAACCACGTCAAAGATCTTGCAGAAGGCTAGGTAGACATCAGTCAGTGTTCCATTGTTGACTGATGCAGTCACTCTATCATAGAAGGCCTCCAGACTGGTCAGACCCTTGGTGAAGCCATGCAGGCTGTCTCTGAGCACCTCATCTTCCATGTGCCTTGACACTGCTTCCAGGAGGATCTTTCCCATTATCTACCCAGGCACAGAGGTGAGGCTCACTGGTCTGTAGTAACCTGGGTCTATGTTTCTGCCCTTTTTAAAAATGGGAATGATGTTTGCCCTTTTCTAGCCAATGAAGAATTCACCTGACTGCCAGGACTTTTCAAATATGATGGAGAGAGGCTTGGCAACTCCATCAGCCTGTTCCTTTAGGACCCTGGAATACACGGCATCAGGCCCCATAGACTTGTACCTCTTCAGTTTCATCAGGTGGTCTAAAATCTACTTTTTACTTAACATGGGAGGGATTTCACTTCTCCAGCCCCTGCCTACAGGTTCAGGGGCCCTAGGGTTTAGGGACATTGTTTAATGCTATTTTGAACTTTTATGTTACATGGAGATTGAGAGGAATACTAACACTTCCTTCTCTTCTTTTTATTAGGGCTTAAATCTGAAAATGTCTTTAGTAAATACAGATCCTAGCTCTATTATTGGTATATCATTCCCTGGAAACATTCACTGAAATAGTAATTATACTTTCACAAAATATTTTTTAGTTACCTTGTATCAGTTCTTAAGAACTTTTTTTTTTCTTCCTTCAAAGTGACTAAAAATTGCTTTAAGAAAGAAATTAAAAGACCCCACAAGGAAGAACCAAGGGTCAACATCAAAACAAAATCTATGTTCAGCTCTGAGGCCCCCAGCATAGGAAGGACATGGAGCTGTTGCAGCAAGTTTAGAGGATGGCCATGAGGATGGTCAGAGGGCTGGAGAACCTCTCCTGTGAAGACAGACTGAGGAAGTTGTGTTTGTTCAGCCTGGAGAAGAGAAGGCTCTGGGGAGACCTTACAGCAGCCTTCCAGTACCTAAAGGGGACCTACAGGAAAGCTGGGGAGGGACTCTGTCAGGGGTTGTAGTGATAGAACAAGGGGGAATGGCTTTAAACTAAAAGAGGGGAGATTTAGATTAGAGTTTAAGAGGAAAACCTTTGCTCAGAGGGTGGTGAGGCACTGACACAAGTTGCCCAAAGAAGCTGTGGATGCCCCATCTCTGGAGGTGTTCAAGGCCAGGCTGGATGGGGCTTTGAGCAACCTGGTCTGGTGGGAGGTGTCCCTGCCCATGGCTGGAGGTTGGAATTAGATGGAATTTAACATCCCTTCCAACCCAAACCGTTCTATGAATCATTCTATGATCAAAACAATAAGGTCTATATAAAAAGAAAATCTCCTAAAATCAAATGCTTTTTTTGTTTACTTTTTATATTTCTTCTGATTTGGCATCAGGAGAGAAGACACAATTTCCTTGTGTACTCTTTCAGTCAGGGTTGAGGATACCAAGCATCTTACAAGATCATGCTCTGGAACCACTCCACTGCAAGACAGTGGAACAGTATTAGAGCAAAATAGGGCTAAAAAGAGAATCAGAGAATCAGGCAAGTAATATACCCCAGGGACTCAGAAAGTTCCAGTTTCCTTTCCATATTCTTATATTACTCACACAAGTACCAATGCCATGAATGCCTTTAGGATTTCAATTGTTAACAGCAAGACATTTTATTGCAGGTATCATTTTAAAAAGAGTGTAAAACCAGGTGAAAGCAAATGCATGCTGCTCTACAATCAGATTAGAAGATAACTAGCCAAGAAAACCTAAGAATATTTCACATTTGGCTTCTGGGCTGAGAATTAATATTTTTTGTGACATTTCAAATAATTTTATTGTAGCTACTAAAACAATACGCCAATAAGCCACCAAAATGATATTTTTGGAGTGAACTGAACTTTCAGTAAAATTTGATACTTCCAAAGTACTTTTTGTAATTGCTTGAGAGATATTTTTTTTTCTTTTTTTCTTTTTTTTTTTTTTTATATCTTCTTGTGAAGTGAGAGGAATGTGCAAACCAGTATGGGCTAGTAAAGCATATGACACAAAGTTTGGCTCTACTGAAGTCATAATTGGATGAGACTACGATCCACCCACAGAAATAACACAAATCCTTTAACAAGAGTCTTAAGAATAGTTAACCAAAGCCAACATAGCAACAAACTTCCCCTGAAAACACACCTTATCTCAGGAAGTGAAAACTATTCAATGCCTAAATTTCAATTAACTTTGTCACGCTTCTCAGAACCACAGCAGTTGCAAGTTTGATTCACGTTATGATGACAGATAATTGCTTTTACAGGTCTGGCTTGGTGGAACTGTGGAAAAAGCCTTGCCAGACTGTATTACATGAGTGAAAAACATTAAATAGACAGCTAACATGTCTCATCTCTTCCTCTACGTCCTCTCTCTCCCTCTCCCTCTCTTTTTTTTGTATCTTTTGTAACCTCCCATAGAGGTTTATGTGTGTGCATCTGTGTGTGTCTTTGTGTCTGTGTCAGTAAAAGCCCAAACATTAGATCACAAGTTCTTGTTTATATAAGCTTCAATTTACCCTTCAGGCAGAAACTTAGAGATTTCCAAACACACAGATGCTTGCCACTATCCAAATTCAATTTGAAATGCTCTGCACAACATCTCCTTTAACTTAACTAACCTTGTATTGTTTGAATACTTCATAACACGTTTTGATTGCCAAACATCATTACTAACTTTGCCATCGTTAACAAGGCTAGCTGAGACACAAATAAATGGAATTCTATAAAATGTCAAATTGTCTTTAAAAGTTGCATTCATTTTATTAAACACGCAAATCTGATTTTACAAATGCTTATTAGGCAAAGATGTTATAGAAAAGCTATCAAAGGACTGACAGAAAATGTTGCTACCTGGTATGATCTAGACCCTGAAAGAGACCCTGCAGGAGTCTGCAGCAATGGACCTCCATCTGCCAGAAGTCTCAGGACTGCAAGTTACTCACATAGACCAAAACCAAAGGAAGCGATACAGAAATCCCAGGACACAAAGGAAGGTTTACTTAGGGAATTGCCAAAGAATGCTCCCCTCAAGGGAAGATTTGGAAGTCTGTGGAATATGGGGGGAGAAGTGCCAAACTTAGCAGGCTCTGGGGAATGTAAAGTTTTCAGACCATGACATACTGTGGTTTCTTTCCATGGGCACATTACAGAGGCAGCAACTCTGTACTCTAGAAACCATTTAAATAGGAGAAACTCAGGAAGAGAGAATCAGTGTCACTGACTTTCAAAAAAGCCCATACTGCAAGGAGTACCCTCTGAGGAGGCCTCAAGATCTCACCCCTTATTAATACATTTCAAGAGAATACAGCAAGCAAAATGTAACTTAGTGATAGACAAGGAAGCAGAAAGTTTGCAATCATAAATTTCATTTTTTTTCCTGCTTTTTCATTTTTCTTTCTTTCAGACAAAACACGGTTTATGAAGTGACAGCATACAGCCCTCCTGAAAATTACGCAAATCTGGGTCTATACCCATGCCATTACTGACTAGATGTCTTGCTGAACCAGGAAGGAGTATTCTGCATGGATGTTCTTCTGAAGCAGGTCCTCCTCCTCTTGCTCCATCTCCTCCCTTCTCTTCCCATGCCTCCCAGAAAAGGGATGTATATCCCCAGTCTACAATTTCCATCTTGTGGAATGGACATGCATAAACTCTTAAAACCAATTAGCTGACCCATTTTGATTGCTAATTTTTCTCTAATGATCCGGCCGCTGTAGAGTAGGCTGGAGTAAGTTTGCAGCAAAGCATTCACACTGTGTCAGTGGACCGTGTGACAGTATTGCCCTGCAGTGTCCTCTACCAGAGATGATGCTCAATGATACGCTTTCAGTGCTTTCATATCTCAATGAGAGATTGACAGGATGCCCTGGGTGCACTGTGAGATGCAGTAGGTAATAATGTGGGCACAGGATGCTGCCACAAACAGCTGAAACACTGAAAGTTCACTTCCTAATTTACCCAATAGTAACTTGCTCCTCTGCCTATATGTGTTTGGTATATATTGAAAATATGTTCTATGCCCACAGGATATCCATATATTGTCCCTTTCTGGCACAACATAAATCTATGGCAGGAATTGTTGCATAGCTTGAAAAATGAAAGCACAGTGCGTTCTCCAAGATTCATAGCAACATATGTCTGTGTATCTTGTTCAGAGCTGTGCCTGAAACATGTTAATGTGCATCTACAAGTAAAGGCACGTAAAGGGGGTTTTAGTTTTAGGCACATTTTACCACTGGATTTATATGGGCATGAGGTAACACCTACTTTTTTTCTTCAAAGAGCTAATCCACATGCATAATCGAAACAAGTCCTTATTCTGCTCACTATAAATATGTACCAGATGTATCTCTTATAAAAGTTAAATTCTGTAGCATGGTGGGATTTCCTAGTACCTGTGAGTTATGTCAACCTTGATCCAAAGGGAAATAAAATTGAAGAACATTGCACTGTAGGATATGGGATGTCCTAGACATGGTCACAGACAAGTCTGTAAGTATAGTAAACAGCTACATTATCACCCTATTGATTTACTTTGTGCGACATGATGGCTTGATTGCTGTAAACAGGAATCATGCCACTAAAATAACAAACAAAATTGATTGTACTGAAGCACACACATTGTAATTTCCACTGGCTTTTAGGCTTGCTGTGGTATACACTCACAGATCATAGGGTTATGATTAGCTGTTCTTCATGCTCTAACAAGGGAATAAAGATGTGAAAACGTGAATACATGACATTGCATCCTTAAGAATTAATTTTAAGTGCTATGTTGCTTGCAATTTGAAGGCATTTTAAAAGAATTAATCATTTGAGAGTGCCTTGGCTTTAGCTAGCTAAACACTCAGAAACTCATTTCAGAACCTTTCTTATACATTAAGAGTTAACCCCCTTAAAAATTTGAATATACCATAGAAGAAGTTTCAAATACCATAGTTTCTCTGCAAATCTCATTTCTCTGAAAAATGCTATCACAGGATGTCAGATACAGACCTTTTTCTCACCAGGTCCAGGTGACCCAATAAAAGGGCTTTACTCCCATGCTCACTAGCAGAAAATCCTGTGTGTAGTCCAAGAGATACAAAACAAACTGGAGGAAAAAAACAACACAGCTTCAAAGCTTTTTGAGATGTTTATCCTCTCATTTGTACATCTGCTAAAAAGTCTCTGTTTTCACTTAATATATTAAAAAAAAAATACAGCAAAAAATAGAAAAGCAACTTGTGAACCAATTACTAACAAGCAAAAGTATAACAGATGCAAACAAAGAACTGCAGTATTTTTCACCATATGTTTCAAATCAATCTTATTCCTTCATCAGTTGGAAACAAAGCATAATGTTGTGGTTCTAACAGTAACTAACCTTGATCTATCAAGCCATAGAAAAACTAACAGTACTTTGACAAGCCATTTGTTCTATTTATCATAAACAGTCAACAGGATTAACTATGATTTGCCATTCATTTAGAAGTATATTATCTAATTATTCCCATTTCAACTCCTTTTCTAATTGCCCTCTGGTGTTAAAATACATGTATGTCTATTGCTCATTTATTAGTCTCTGCTCTACTCAGAACACATTTTGTTTAATTACCTCCAGTTTCACATGCACAGGTCTGCTGGTGAATGGGACAGTGATAGGGAGGAGGACCTGGGGAAAGAAAGTGCTGTGCAGGAGTGCAGCTGCTTCCCAGGAGTGCAACTGGTGTGGCTATAGTCCGTGAAGTCCTCCTGAGAAATCTACCCACACATACAGACACCTGCACAACATGGCATTTTTACTGTCTTTAAAACAAGTCATTCATCTTTAGGTTAAGGGCAAAAAAGCTCCACGTACTTCAGTCTTTATGAGATTGCCTGGGAATCTCAACATGCCTTTGGAAACTAGAGGCTCTGTCCTGACTTCCCTCTTCTTCTCTCTCTCTCTTTATTTTTTATTTTTTAATCATTTATTTAGTTTTCACAGCACAGAACCCAAACAGTACTCCACATCTCTGAGTCTGTCAGCATTCAAGGGGTCTGAAAAGACATTCAGAGTGAGGCACTGAAAAGAACCTCTCAATTTCAAGCTCCAGATGGGGGGCAAGATTGGGTGATCCCTAGAGAGCCCTTCCAGCCACCTTTCCTATCATTCTCCCATGCAGCTTCCTTGTAAATGCACAGAGACATGTAAGAGCTGCAGGTGCAATTTGTCACCTGTCTGCACTGTGTGCCTTAGTGGCTAATATCATGCAAGCCTCAGCAAAGGTGCTCTCAAAGTGGATGTTGGGGTCTCCTTAACCACCTGTAAGCAATCAGCCTAAATGCCAGGATATTGCAAACTGTGCTCATGAACAGCTTGCAGGTTTGTTGAAGTGCAGCTCCCTGTGCAGTTTGGGCAGCATCTTGAATGTCATAGCATTTACGGGCACACCATGACCTGTTCAGACTCTTTGTTCCCTCCTTCACTTCCCTTCCAGCTCTCTACACTGAGCCCTGCTCAGGTTGGTGTTTGGGGTCATAAATATAATCACTCTTGCTTTGAGGATGTACGAGCAGTAGAAATCTAGCATTGTAGGTCTGCCAGATTCCCAGCTCTCTGAACCACCTCAGCTTGTGTTTGCCAAACTTTCTTGATTGTTGGCTTATGTTCATGAACTCAGTGAACTTTGCACCCAAAACTCAGGTGAGAAAGCACTGAGTTTAAATGTAAATATTGTGTTCAGATCTAACCGTGACTTTGGGCCAGCTCCAAAAGAAGACTTAAGCACTTTATATGGGATCTAGGTGGAATTCAGGCACTTAAGTTCAAAACTCGACATTGGAAATACCTGCCCAACCCTGGAGGCATGTAGGGTTAATAGATGTTTGACTTTTTTCACTTTACATTTTCATCCAAAGCTACTCAGTTTGTATATCTCTATCACCCCACTTTGACATGGGCATCCAAGTTGAGTTCCCTCTTCTTTACGAGATGACTCGGCACTATACATCCTCCTTTAGAGGGAAATGTCCTGACACCAGGCTACACAACACTCTGGACAGAAGTACTGTTCACCACTACAACACTTCACTGAAAAGCCTTCAAGGTTTATGGACATGATTCAGGATTTTAATGGTTAAGTGGCTATGCTCTACAGAAAAAGATCTGAGTTCTGCTTTTTGCTCCCAAGACAGAGTCTGCATTTTAGATAAAACAGATAAAATACAGGAGCAGTCATGGAAACAGGCATCAGAACTGTGCTTCCTCACTGTCAGCCTAACCACTAGACTATACAGTCATGCTCTGCCTCTCTTAGTGAGTCTTTAGCATTTTCTGCACAGAAGCACAGTTTTCCCATGGGGCTGAGAGGAGTCCTTTTCTACTTCCCACATTAGGCCTAGATAACCTCTTGGTAATCTCCATTTTCTGGAAAGTGGGAAAAGAAAGACGGATTAAAGCATTCTGAGATGAGGAAAGAAACGAGTCTGTTTCCCTTGAGCACTCTCACTAGTTTTGAAGGGCACAGCACAGGTTCTGGCTATGTTTTAAAAGAAACAAATGAGTCCTGCCTAGCTCTTTAGAGACATATACCTTCCAGTGAGGGTCCTGGCTGTGCATACCAAGTACATAAAAGCAATTTCTTGCAGCCCTGAGTAAAGGGCAAGATCTAAGACACATGATATCCTTGGGGTCTCATTTTTGTCTGGCTTCTGGCAGCTGTATGTTAACTGACATAAGGTAGCTCCTGGCTTAGCTTGCTCTTAGGTTTTTGCTGTTGCTCTAAGATACCTAAATTTGCATGGGCAATTTATTGGCAACTGACTTGGAATTCTGAAGTCTGGAAGGTTTTGAAAACCTAGGTTGGTTCTCTAAAATGGATCAAGCCTAGAGAATGGGCACACTAAAGTTTCTTTTCTCAGTCTCTCAAGTTTTGCTTACCCTTGTCCTGCCATGTGCCAGGAAGATGGAGAATGTAAGCAAGGCCATGTCTCCAGGATGAGTCCCTTGGTCTCTGACCTATTTCTTTTTCCTTTCATTTTCCTATTTATCCCTTTCCTCCCTTCTTTTCAGGGAGGGTAGCAGAGGTTCTGTCCTCAGAGGCCAGTCCTCCTACCTCCTCTCCTCATTTACATTTACCCTCCCCATTGTTTAAAACACAATGGCTCTACCGTGGTGTCACCAAGGGGAGGCATGCACAGGCCTCTCCGGGTGCTCCCACTGGCTGGTGCAGAACTGAATTCTTTCTGACATTACAAATTCATGCAAAGATGAATTTGGTACTTCCTTTACAGAAGGAATAGCTGTGCCTGTGTGACCACTTCTTCTACAGTGGAGGTGGCAAAATCTTCTAAACAATGAATGATTTTGTGATTTTTTCCCTGTCACAGAAGTACATGGCTCTTGACTGGAAACAAGTCTCTTCTATTCCAGATCCTCTCTTTATGTTGCTTGTGCTGTTGTAGGATCAGAAATCAACTGGCTTATGAGTGACTGAATAAGGGGCAGCTTGGGAACGTCAATTATTTATATTTGTACTTACAAAATAAAGGTGTAAACAGACGGATAGACTCAATGTCC